TCTGGTGCATGTGGTAGTGTCCTCATCCACCTGTCCCAGGTGTCCCCCGAGATGAGTCCCCTACCTGTGAGCGGGCCCTCATCTGCTCTGGTGGTAATTCCCACCAGGCACTTGGACAGAGAATCCTCCACACTGCCCATGGCCATGCAAGAACTGTCCTGTTGAAGGAACTTTGCAAGAGTGACCCAAATGTTTTGTTTGGGTTGTTGGATGACCCACACAGTGGCGGTCATAGCAAGGATCACCCAAAACAGCCAAACATTGAGGTTTAGGGTTAGGGGCATTCTGATGCCTCTTCAGGTGGTGGGGCTGTGACCTTGAAGGGATAATCAGTAAATTTGCTGATGACACTAAACTGGGATGAGCTCTCAACTGTCTGGAGGGCAGAGACCTCGCAAATAGAGATGGCAATCACCAATGGTGAGGGGTTTAGCAGGGTAAGGGTCACATTCTGCCCCTGGGATGGGCACCCCTGGCTTGGTGTATGGACTGGGGAAGGAGAGGCTGGAGAGCAGCTGCACGGCGGGACCTGAGAGTCCTGGCCAAGGTCAAGTTGAACATGAATCAGCCGTTCCCTGGCAGTCTAAAGTGCCACTGTGTCCTGGGGGCAGCAGCCCAGCATCAGCAGCTGGGCCAGGGAAGGGGTTGTCATGCTCTGCAATGGGGTGTGGAGGCCCTAGAGCCTACTGGGGAGAGGGCAACAGTGATCCCCTGGAGAGATGCACCTTGGGCTCTGGGCATTCCTCACAGCTCAGGGGGAGGAAAGAAGCTTCCCCCATGGTGCTCTGCAGCACTATGTTAGTTTGTCCCAGTTCTGTCCTCCCCATTGGCTGATTGGCCTTCCCTTCCCCTTTTACCCTTATATGTTCATGTTCTAGTGAGTTCTCCCTTCCCTGTCTTTCCATTGGTTTGTGTAACCCCACCCATCCACCCTGGCATTTCCTATTGGTCCCTTCCTTGTGTACCACCCCTGAGCCCTCAGACCATTGGATCCCTGATGCTCTTCTCCACCACCTCTTTCCTTGTGTTTATACCCTGGACCCTCCTTTGTCTTAGTCTTTGGCGCCTGGACTCCTTCAGAGTTGGGCCTTAATAAACCCTTGTTGGAACTCTGTGTGTTGGGAAGGATGAAAGTTTGACAAGAAAGTCTCACAGATATGTGTGCTTAGCAGAAAGATTTTTAAATGTAGAGTCTGATGAAGGAATAGACATGGAAGCAAGTTTCGATATAGAAGAAAATAATTGCTGAGCCAGTCTTACTGGATAACCAAGGAGGCAAAGGGTGTGTTGGTTGGAAGGGGTTTTTATGACTTAGAGCAAAGGATAAACCCACCTCAAACAAGAAGATGTTTTTACCAAGCAGAAAGATAGCACAGACAAACAAGTTAGCAAATGTTGCAAGTAGAAAAAAGGCCTCAAAATTTTCCAATACAAGAAAACTGAAAAACAACTTCTAGCTTAAACTGTAATGTACTAACTTTTAGTGATTGGAGAATAGTAACATGAATATGGTAATTATAGTAGTTATGATAGGCTATAGATAATATTTAAGGCATAGATTGGTTCTACTCTACTAAGATGCTAAGCAAAGAAAAGTATATAATGCATTGTAACCAAAACCAAAGCTGGAGCTGACAGCTGTAGGCACAGGCTCTGTTGCCCACGACCCTGGACTGCTGTAACCTCTTGGATGGAATAAACTGCATTTTGGAGAGCCGCCTGGAGTCCTGCATCCCTCATTTCGGCTCTTACACCGTGCCTGGACCCTCCCATGTCTTCACTGCTGAGCTGCTCCGTGTGTGTGTGTTTGTGTTTGTGGGTGTGTGTGTGTGCTGGTGCCCTCGTGGCTCCTGCCTGCTGGTGCAGGATGGTCTTGGGGAATGTTGCATCCACCACCACCATGGACTGCAACAAGTGGCGCCCTAACAGGGACCTTCATCTCATACCCCTGGAGAGCATCTCCAGTGTCGCTGCACCTTATGTCACCTTCAGGTCAACCACTACCCCAAAGCAAGCTCTGAGTTTTATCAGGGCGCACTAAAGGGAGAGAGTGGCAGCCCTCTCAGAATTATGGACTACAGGATGCTCTCCGTGACAGACCCCCACAAGATCCTTTGCTGACCCAGCATTGTTTGAGTATGTTATGGTCAGGGTCATCTGTGACGGTGTTCACAGGGGTCCGAGGAAGAGGGAAGAGACGAGAATCTGACTCCATGTTTCAGAAGGCTTGATTTATTATTTTATGATTATATACTAATTAAAAACTATACTAAATAGAAAAAAGGATTTCATCAGAAGGCTAGCTAAATATAGAAAAGGAATGATAACAAGAGCTTGTGTCTCGGACAGAGAGCCCGAGCCAGCTGACTGCGATTGGCCATTAATTAGAAACAACCACATGAGGCCAATCACAGATCCACCTGTAGCATTCCACAGCAGCAGATAATCATTGTTTACATTTTGTTTCTGAGGCCTTTCAGCTTCTCAGGAGGAAAAATCCTAAGGAAAGGATTTTTCATAAAATGTGTCTGTGACAGTCACCCTTTTATTTTGTTTTCTCATTTTAAATCTTGTGGGTGGGAAGACTGCAGAATGGGCACAAGATTCACCATTCTGCAGCGGGAGATTTATATCCCAAGTTAAATTAACCCTTGTTGCTTGGGGAATTAGTTTTTCAAAGGGGAATTTAAAAGCTTTTGTTCATTTTCTTTTCAAATATTTTGTGAATGTTATGAGGGAATCAGTTTTATCACTTGAATTTGGGATAATGTTGGGGTAAAGATAACTGTTGTACAAATGGAGGAAAATTTTAAGGTTGGGAACTTTTATCTTCTTTTTTGTTTTATTTATGATTCAGTTAAAAAATCAGGGGGAAGTTTGGAGAAGTTACATGTTTAGATCTCCAGTTGTCTCCCCATTTGCTGTGTTCCTCCCCTCACATCCCTGCTCCCTCATCCCCTAAGGAAAGGTCGAATGATGGAACCTGCCAAGAGGCGTGGGAATGCCACACCTTTCTGCCATCTCTTGACCTCTCCTGTCCTTCCCTCAGGATGGTGCTGGCCATGCCATCCTGAGCCCTAACCTAACCCTCCTTCCCATGCCATCTTACCCACTTCCCCTGCCCAGTTTTATTAGCCAGGATGGTGTTGGACTTGTGAGGAGACCCACCATCTTAGGCCAAGTGGCGCCAAATTTTGCCTTACCACCGCAAAATGGTGCCCAGGACCCTCCTTCTCCTTTTCCTGTTCCTGCTCCTACATCATTGGGCTCCTCCCCTGTGATGCATTCCCCTCCACCCATCGATGGTCTCCCCTGCGTTGGGATGTAACACTGTTGACAATTCCATGCCCTTCCTTACTGGCTGCTTGTAAGGGGGACCTCAGGTGACTTCCCTAGCCATGGGAGGGGACAGAACAGGGTATGGATGCCTCCCGCGCCCCTGTCACCCATGGGGGCGTGGCAGTGATGGGGGACAGGCAGTCTGGTCATGCCACCAGGGGTGCCAGGATGGGGCCCAGGTGGCAATGGAGTTGCCACAAAGGGTGTGGTGACACAAGGGTGCAGGTGGCTATGGAGATGCCACCGTGGGTGTCATGACACGAGGGGACAGGAAGCCATGGAGGTGCCACCATGGGTGTGGTGACACTAAGGGGCACATGGCCATGGAGATGCCACCATGACCGTGACAGAGCCATGGGGTGGCAATGCCGGTGGGTGTGGCAGTGTGACAGTGACAGGCCATTCATGGGGCCAGCCCTGCAGCTGTGCCCAGTGCTGGCTCCCCAGGACCCCCCACCCCTTTTGGAGTCCCCTCTGGGGGTGGCAGCAGTCCCAGTGCGCCACTTGTAGGTCTTCAGTAGGGCGGGGGGCTCGGAGGGAAGCCAGGGGAGCTTCCACCTCCATCAGCTGGGGAGGGGCAGGAGTAGAGTTTGGGGGGTTCAGGGGGTGAATTTGAAGGTGGTGAGATGGGGAGAGTAATTTTATGGGGTCCTGGGGGTGGATTTGGGGGTGGTAGGATGGAGGGAGTAATTTTGGGGCTGGATTTGGGGTTGTGGGGTGGAGGGTAGGGATGGGGGTAGTCACTTTGGGGACTCCAGGGGCTGGATTTGGGCATGGTGGGGTGGGCATCCCCGCCTTAGGGGTCCCCAATATTTGGGGTTCCAAATCTAACCATCCAGGTGTCCCAATTTTTGGGTGCCCAATCCAAGGGTCCCAATTTTTTGGGTTCTCCTGCCCGTCTAGGGGGTCCCCACCCAGTGGGGACCCGTGCCAGCCCCTCGCAGTCCCCACCCATGCCAGGGACAGGGTGACACGGTGACAGGCTGACAGGGGGACAGGCGCCCTGCTGTTAGTGTTCAAAACCACATAATCACGGAGCGATTATATGTGGTGCTTTTTACTTAAGAGCTCTGGGAATCAGGGTATTACCCAAATCTGATTCCGACCATACATCTGAGATGATCATGTTTTTATACTCTATCGTTATATAACTTTCATGTTAATTATTAAACTTATATCATTCTATTGTATACATAGATTTCAGCTAAGCATAGCCCCCCTTTAAATTTCCAACATAGTTTCTCATGATTCTTCTTGTGGTTATATAAAAATTATATTTAATTACTAAACAATCATCACATCTAACAATTATATCATTTATCATACTGCTTATGCAGGTGCAGTTGATCAGGAAAAACACAAAGCTTAACATTTTAGATTCTATCTTTAACTTTTTCCAGGGCTCCACTATCCCTGCCACCCCCGTGTGGGACCGGAGTTGTTTCTTTTGCGCCCCCGTCGCACTTCCCCTCCCTCCCCCACACCCTGGAGACCCCTCTGATTCTCCCTTTGTCATCCCCTCTGCGGGGAGGGTATTGGTGGCACCACAGGACCCCCTTTCTGGTACATCCCAGAAGTGTCACTTGCTCTTTTTGTCACCACCACCTGCCAATTTGCCACCAGCGCCCCAAAGAGAGGGGTGACCCGCATCCTACAGGAGGGGAGTTGACCACATTTTGGGCTCTCTCTCACCACTTCCACCCCCCCGAGGATGCCGTGCGACCCTGCACTCCCCCACCCTCACCTCCTCCTCCTCCCCCTTTACCTGTGCCCCAGGAGGTGATGCCGCTGCTCCCACTGGGGACACACCGGTGACACCGAGGGGACACCGTGGGTCACCTCTCAAAGGGACTGCAGGGTCACAGTGGCTCCTCGAGTCTCCCTGATGTGACAGCTGGGGGGACTTGGATGCTGTGGTGACAATTTGAGGGGTGGGTGCTCATTCTGGGTCTCCAGGGTGGGTCCCAAATGCCCTCCGATCACCACAAAGTCATCCCCCAGCCTGTGCCTCAGTTTCCCCCTTGCTCTGCAGGGACCATGCGGAGCTGATGTTCTGGAATTGGGTTTATTTTGGGAGATTTTGGGTTGGGGGCTACTGGGATGGGCTGGTGGGACAGTGGTGTGGGACAGTAGTGTGGGCCAGGGTATGGCCAGGCTGGGGGGCTGCAGGGCCAGGGGCTGTTCAGACCAGTGTCCAGCTGGGATCCATGGTCTGGTGTCCATCTGGACCAGTGTCCATCCAGAGTGGGATCCATGGTCTCGTGTCCATCTGGACCAGGGTCCAACCTCTCCTGCCCCCATCCATCCCATACTCTCCGGCCAGGGCCACTCCTCACTGCAGAGTGCACAAGACCCTCGGTCAGTGCCAAGATGACCCCAAACCCCGTCCCAGCAACCCCACCAGGCCACCCACCCCGAGCCCCAGTGCCACTGGTGTGCCCTGGAAGCCAGGCCAGCTCTGGAACTCCTGGAAAAGGAGATCCACAGTCCTGGGCTGGGGACTCAAGGGCATCCAGGATGGTGAGCACTGAGTCCATGTGGTGTGGAGGGGCAGCTGGGGACACAACTGAGGACACACCTGAGGGGAAGGGGGTGAGGGGTTAAGGGGTAGGGAGAGGGTTGGAGGGCGGGATGCACCCAAAAATTTGCCAAAGTCAAAGGGAAGGATGCCCATAATTGGGAGGAAGGATGGAAAATAGGGAAAGGATCCAAAATAGGGGGGAACAGACCCTAAATAGGGGGGAAGTGACCCAAAACAGCGAAAGGACCCAAAGGACAGAGAAAGGATCCAAAATAGGGAGGAAAAGACACAAAATAGGGAGAAGGGACGCAAAAGAGGGGGAAAGGATCCAAAACAGAGGGAAACATAACAAAGTGGGGGGAAAGAACCCAAAATCAGAAGACAAAGGGTGTCACGGGCACGAAGCTCTTCCTGCACTTGGGGCACTCACAGGGCTGCCCTTAGTGGTGGCTCTGTTGGTGTCTGGTCAAGGCAGACCTCTCTGAGAAGCCCTTCCCACACTCAGAACACTCGTAGGGCCTCTCCCCGGTATGGGTACGCCGGTGGGTGACGAGATTGCAGTTGCGGGTGAAGCCCTTCCCGCAGTCAGGGCAGCGGAAGGGCCTCTCATCTGTGTGAAGCTGCTGGTGCAGAATGAGACTGGAGCTGATTGGAAACGTCTTCTTGCATTTATCGCACTCGAAGGGCCTCTCCCCAGTGTGGATCCTCTGGTGGCCAACCAGGTGGGACTTTGACATGAAGCTCTTCCCGCACTCCCCACACTCGAAGGGCCTCTCCCCGGTGTGGCTCCGCTGGTGGACAATCAGTTCAGATCTCGACCTCAAGCTCTTCCCACACTGCCCACACTTACACTCCCCACACTTGTATGGCCGTTCCAGCCCTGTGTGGATTCGTATGTGCCGGGTCAGGTGGCAGCTCTTGTGGAAGCTCTGCCCACACTCCTCACACTCATAGGGACGTTCCCCGGTGTGGCTTCTCTGGTGGATGGTCAGTTCAGAGTTCGTCCTGAAGCCCTTCCCACACTCTGCACACTCGTAGGGCCGTTCCCCTGTGTGGGTCCTCAGGTGGGCAGTCAGGGTGGAGTGCTGGGCGAAGCTCTTTCCACACTCAGGACACTCGTAGGGCCTCTCCCCGCTGTGGATGCGCAGGTGGGTGACAAGGACAAACTTGTCCTTGAAGCTCTTTGCACAATGGGGGCAGCAAAAGGGCCTCTCATCTGTGTGACTCCGCTGATGCCTGACGAGACAGGAACTCGTCTGAAACCTCTTCCTGCATTTATCACACTCGTAGGGCTGTTCCCCGGTGTGGTTTCTCTGGTGGATGGTCAGTTCAGAGTTCATCCTGAAGCTCTTCCCACACTCCCCACATATGTAGGGCCCTTCCCCAACGTGGATTCTCATGTGGCGGATCAGCTTGGATCTGAACTTGAAGCTCTTCCCACATTCTGAGCACTTGTGGGGATTCTCCTCATCCTGGAGCTGCTCATGGACCCCCAGCTCTGAGCTCCAGCTCCCTTCCTGGCCCAGGGTGGGTCTTTCCTCCTCGGATCCCCGTGATCTGCGTTTGCAGCCCCTCCTCGTGAGGGATCTCCGGGGCTTTTCCTCCCTGTTGGGTTCCTGTGCTATGGAGCTGCACAAAACAGCCTCTTCCACGAGGTTCTGCTGCCATGGGGATTTGCCCTCCCTGCTCTCCATGCTCAGCTCCTGCTCTGGGGGAGGAAGGACAAGGAGAGGATGGGATTTGCCTCTGTGCCACAGGGAAAGAGATCCCCCCAGTGCGTCCCCAGCAGGACAGCTTTGGCAGCAGGGTTGTCCTGCAGCCGGGGCCGTGCTGGGCTGGGAGATGGAGCAGGAGAGAGGGGGAAAGGGGCACTGACTTCCTCCTCACCTGCCTGGGGCTCCCGGGCCATCTTCCTCGCAGCCTCCTCCTCCTCCTGCATCAGGCCAAGGTTTGGGAATGGGAAATCCTGGTGTGGAGGTGTAATATGTAATGTAAAGTAATTCATGTGTAGGGGGAAAATGTATAAAAATAAAATTGTAAAATAAATTAAACAGCACAGGAGCCTCTGACCATGGACAACCTAGAGACAGATTACCTCACTAAAGTTGTGAAACTCCTGGTGGCAGCAGGAAAAGATGCCTCCTTATCAAATAAAAGAACGTGGCTGGTGCAGAGATGAGCTTCCCCTGGAACCACCCGGAAACACCCCAGGACCATCAGTACTTGATAAGTATCATCAATAAAGATAACCAAAGTTGTCAAATGTGGGAATCCATAAAAATCAGAAGGTTTTAGGAAGGTGGTTAAATACAGGCCTCAGACAGCAGATTTGTGAACAGTGCTAAGGCAGCAGAAAAGTTTTCTAAGCTGTAGGGAAGACATGGGAAGTAGAACAATAAGAGCTGTGTAGATGGGCCTTCTAAGTTGCAACAAGTTTATTTAGTGCATATTTTAGAAGGTTAATTATGAATAGAGCTCTGTGCTTTGTCTCTTATAAATGAGCCATTGTGATGGAGAATAGGCCGCTATTGTTTTAACCAGAATTACGTGTGCTTCAGATTATTGGACAGAACTACTGTCAATATGCTTTTGCTCTATGTGATTGGCTGAGACTGAGATTGAGACTGTCTTATGGTATGTTGTAACACTAAGTTTCTTTGGCTTTCTGCCTGCTGGACCAGCAAGCTGTAGCATCTTTCCTCTCCATTGTCATAACAATGTAATGAGATTGATGCTGGAAAAATAAAAGCTCAAGACACTGTTTCCAGTGGCCCCGTCCTGTTCGTGTCTGTATATAAACTGCCAGCGTAACAGTCAAAAAAATACATCTGAATACATGAGTTCTCCTGACATGATCAGCACCTGCCACCGCCCAAGAAATAGCAATTGTCCAGCCCTGCACAGTAAAAAGAAACTTCATACTTATGCGGGGTGACAAGAAATCGGGACACCTCTGACTCGGGCAGAAAAAACTGTAAAAAACAGCCCCATCAGAGACGGTATTTGTGAACAGAGGGAGATCCGATGCGATAGAGGTCGGATCCAGGTTCACCCAGAGCCGACCCCGGCTTCTACGCTCTCTTTTACTGTGGCTTTTAGAGGACCGTATTTCTGGTCGCAAAAATAAAATCTTTCCCATTTATAAATTTGGCTTTCTCGTTGATCATTTATAACAGGGGGAAAACAAGGTTGAGTGTGTTGGGTTTGATGTTCCCGCTGCCCAAGTGCAGCTGGAGAAGTCAGCGTCCCTTTCAGCCAAGGGGGGCCCGGAGCCCGCTCATCCCCAGCCTCCCCCACCCCTCCAGGCAGCCGGTTTGTCCCCCGGCTCCGGGACCGCCCCTCTGCGCTCTCCCCACTCCGGGCTGTGGTAAATAGGTATGATTCGTGCTGACAAAATTGAAACAATAATCAATATTGATACAGTAATTAATATTTCAAAATAACAATAAAACAGTTAAAAGTTGTAATGCCAAGAAAGAAAGGGAGAGGAGGGGTTCCACCCCCCTACCCCTTTCCTGCAGATGTTCAAGGACAGGAAAAAGCAAGAGATAACAGTTACTAAAAATTAACAGAAAGAAGGGAATATCTGGTTGGGTTTCAGGAAAAAGCCAGCTATAAGAGATTTATTGCTTTGATACTTAAATGTAATAATATGTTACTTTTGGCTTACATCGTATGGCTTGGGGCACATGTGTAACCCAGGGGTGAGTTGAAGGACATCGAAGAAGAGGAGAGGTCTTCATCAAAAATGACCCCCAAAGACTTGTGCAACCACCAAAACGAGTGGTGCAGCATGCACGGTAAAGGTGATGAGGGCGGAGGTAGAAGCGTGATGAATCGAAAATGGGAAGAGATGGCATTGACACATGGCATATAAGGGGGGAATCTTCACTTGGCAAGTTTGTACGTGAGGTGGCAAGGGTGCAGAACCCTGCACTCCGTACCCTGCGGTTATCTTTTACTTATGCGCTATTATTGGAACCAAATTATCCCTTCTTTTAATCAAATTATATTGTCAATATTTCAAGTGTATCCAATTTTATATATTTTCCAAACTATTCAATTAAAATTGCTCCTACCTCTAATATTGTTTGGGTTTTTTTGATGATAGGATAATTAGGCAAACATAACAGGGGCTCCCACGTTCGCCCCGGCTCTCCCGGGGATCCCCAAACCCGACATCCCCTCCTCCCTGCCGGTCCGGGGCGATCGCAAAGTGGGACCCCCCCCCAAGATCCCTGCAGGGGCATTTCCGGCCCAGCTTTGGGGTCCTGCAAGACCCAAACATACCCTGTCCCACAAAAAAATCCTCCCGGAACGCCCCCCCCCCCGCCCCCGCCGATGGATTTGGGGCTCCCCCTCCCCGCTCACCTGCGGGTTCCGAGGGGGCGATGCAGCCGGAGCCGGGGGAGCTGCGGCCGGAGCGTGCGGGCGGGGGAGTCCCGTGGTGTTGGGGATGCTCATCTTCCTTCTCTTGTTCCGGTCTCCCTCCTCTTCCTCCCGCTCCTCCTCCGTCCCAGCCCGGCCCGGGCAGCGCCGATACCCAGAAGCAGCCGCGCTCTGCCCTGGGCGGGTTTCACAGCGGGCCCGTCCCGCGCGGCACTGGGAGTGATCCTGGGAGCACCGGGAGCGATCCTGAGAGCAGCGGGAAGGAACTGGGAGCGCTTTCCCTGCCAGTGCCGCTCTTACTGGTAGCACTGGGAGGGAACTGGGAGCAAACAGCGCCCGGAGGCGGCTGCAGCCGGCGGTGGGCGGAACCACGATGGAAGGCGTGGTTATGCAAATACGGGAGCGATCGCGCGCTGGGATTGGTGGGCGGGAGCAGCGCGGGGTTTGCTCGGTTATGTGAGGGCCGAGAGGGGCTGGAGCGATGGCGGCGGCGTGCGGTGAGAGGGGACAGGGAGCGGGAATTGGGACCGGGAATGGAAATGGGAACAGGGAGCGTGAATGGGACTGGAAATGCGGACAGGGAGCGGGAATGGAGACAGGGAGCAGGACCGGGGAAGGGGATAGGGAGCGGGAATGGGAGCAGAGAGGGGGACAGAGTCCACAAACGGAGACAAGGACCAAGGGGGAGAATATGGGAACGGGAGGGGGAACATGGAAACAGCAACCGCAGAGAGAATATGGGCTGGGGATTGGTGCTCCAAAGTGTCCCAGTGAAAGCCAGCAGGGGCTGTGAGCTCTGCAGCTGGGCCTCCCCTGCGCTGCTGCGGCCCAGGGCCCAAAGGCGGGAGCTGCAGCCTCGCTCCTGTCTCAAGAACAGGAGCCTCCTCCAGGCCCATGGCCCCTGCCTGGCCCCAGCGTGAGGGAGGGCTCTGAGGCACAGCGGCTGCTGGCAGGAGGGGCTGCTCCGGCCAGCTGGGGGCCTCTGAGAAATGCCCAAAGCCTTGTGCTCTCTGCAGCTGGCCAAGGACAGCAGCAGGGCTGAACGGTTCGTGTGGCACAGCCAGCCCGAGCTGTGCAGCCCTCAGGAATGGGACCAGAACAGGACCGGGAATGGGGACAGGGCCAGGAATGGGGACAGGGACTGGGAACGGGACCGGGAACGGCGACAGGGACCAGGAACACAGGAGAGAGACCGGGAAGAGGATCATAATTCGGAATATGGAAACAGGACAGGGAATATGGAAACAGCAAAAAGAGAATATGAGATGGGAATTAGGAAGATAGGATCAGGATGGGAAATAAGAATACGAGAACAGGACTGGGAATGGGAGTATGGGAACGGGATAGGGAATATAGAAATAAAAAATGCAGGAAATAGCAGCATGACCGAAATACGGGCACAGAAACAGGACTGGTAATATGGGAACAGCAACCAGACAGAGAATATGGGACTGGGAATGAGACAGGGAGTGGGATCCGGGACGGGACCGGCAGTGAGATGACACGGTGTTGTGGGTTCAGCGTTGGCTAAATGCTCATGTACTCTCTAGAATTATTTACTTATTTCTTGTTGTGAGACAGGATTAGAAGAAAGGTAAAGTAGGGTTAAAACTTTAGCAGGGTATAAAGAAAACTTTAATAATAGGACTAAAAGAAAAAATAGTAAGAACGAGCATAAAACTTTTAGAACACTTCTCCTCCTCTCTCCACAACATTTTATCTTTCCTACTGACAATGTCCAGAGACGAATTTGGTATTCTCAGTCAGTTTACTTCTCCTAAAATAATCTTTCATCAGTTTTCTTAGGGAGAGGAGTCTTTCTTGCCTTGGCTATGGAGATTTCTCTACAAGAAACAGTGTTCTTGTGACTTCAATCTACATGAATAGCAGCCCCTTGGGAATTTGCATTCGTGAAGTCCTTCTCATCTTTCACAGCCTTCCCACAGCTGTGGTTTTGGGCTATGTTAACTTATTGGGGTGCTATTTTTAAGTATGAACTGTTAAAAAACAAAGGTTTCTTTTTTCTGTATCTCTGAAATCATCTTCAGCTCTTAGAACAAAGGTTTTCTTCTTCTTTCCTGGGAGCAAAGGGGCTTCATTACTTTTGTCTCATTCTGTTCCAGCTTCTCATCAGGACTGCAGCTACTTTAACAGCTGTTCACTTTAGCATTGGTGCCTCTGTTCATGATGGCCCTTGAAACCCTATATTCTTCTAAAGCATTTTAATAAGTTACAGAGAAAAAGAGTCTGATGTATCAATTGCATTCTTCTCTATAGCCTTATGGGAGGATTTCAGCCTAAGACTAATGCATTTCTTCATTTTTTCTCTATCTGGGACTTGAATCCTTTTTTACTGCCTTTGGTGTATTTGTCTTCTGTATGTCCATCTATCTTTTTCTCTCACTTGAGAGAGGATTGAAGGTCTGCAAGTTTCATTTGTGCAGTGAAGGAGTTGATGTTACCCAGGCATTGCACCATTCTTGCTGTTGGTTCTGTGATTCCTGCCAGGCAGTGGTTGGAGCAGTCGCAGTGCCTCATTTCAGGCTGCCCTGAGGGGGCTGTGTCAGGATCTCAGGAGGGCCTGGGCTGGAACAGCGGCACGCCAGGGGCCGCTGGCTTCCCCTCCCTCTGCTCGGCAGTTTCTGGTGAAATTCAGCTGAGACGTGGGCCAGCCTGCAGGGGAGGCTGGGATCTGGGGAGCCAGGCTGGAACACAGCAGCAGCACGCCAGGGACCGATGGCTTTCACTCCCCTGCCTGGTGGGTGAGGACGAAGTTCAACAGTGGCAGAATCTTCGCCAAGCTGCCAAAAATCCAGCGGCGGAGCCAGCACAGCCCAGCAACTGCAGGTGGGGCTCAGCAATGGCCCGCTGTGTGAATGTCACAGAAGGGAATCTAGCTTTAATTGGCTTATAAACATGCCTGTTCTCAAAGCTAGGCAGCAATTGGTTTTGCTAGGCAAAGAGAAGCTCTCATCAGCTCTTTTCAGAAAAGATAATTTCTATGGGTGACTTCTTTCTTCCTCACTAAATGTCAATCACAGCAAACACAAATGGGAACCAGTGTGGGGCAAGGGAAGTCACAGCAGGGAGAGGGGGATCCAGAACAGGGGACACCAGGAACCAGGACAGGGGGACATTGGGACAGTTCAAGGGCAGGGGCTCCTTGATCAGCTGCCTTGGAACCTCCGCCAGGGTCTCCCAGCACAGCCAGAGCCACCTGGCCTGGGGTGCCCAAAGCCCTGAACAACCCCCAAATCCCTCCCAAGAACACTCAACTCCCTTGAAACCAGCATCCCTCACATCCCCAGAAGATCCCCCCAATGTCTCCAACCTTGTTTTAGTTCAACGTCTTTCTTTCTACCCTGGTTTTGTGTGTTTGGAAAGGACAAAGAGAAATGAAAACAAAATCCAGGCCACAGGGAGCCAGGATGATGTGGAGCCCCCCAGGCAGGTGTCTTCCCAAAATGGATCACCGGCACCACGGATCACCAGGGCTCTGCCCACCATGGCTCACCAGGGTCATCCAGCACGGATCCTCCCGTGGGGGATGGAGCTGGAGCAGCGCAGGAAGCTCTTCCCGCACTCAGGGCACTCACGGGGCTGCCCTTAGTGCTGGCTCTGTTGGTGTCTGGTCAACTGAGAGCTGTGGGAGAAGCTCTTCCCACACTGCCCACAGTTGTAGGGTCTCTCCCCAGTGTGGATGCGCCGGTGGCGAATGAGAGCTCCCACTCCCAGAGCTGCCACCAGACCCTGCCCACAAGGTGCTGCTGGGGGACAGGGGCTTCATGTAGGGGTTTGTCTTCCTGGCACCCTGGGAGTGAGGGGGTATCCCCCTGGGCTGTGTGTGACCCTCCCATCCTGGTGTCACCCCCTTGTCCCTCCCCACAGGGCTCCTGCCCCAGCTCCTGCTCCCCCCAGAGGGAATTTGGGGAGGGGGCACAGGGAGTGCACAGCCCCCACCAGGGGGTGACGCCGGCCCAGCCCCTTTGTTCAGCACCAAGCTGGGCCTGGGGCCGCAGGAGGAAGAGGCTGATGGGAAGCAGATCCTGCAGCTGGGACAGTGCTTGGGGTCAGGGCAAGGTCCTGCCCTGCACACCTGGCTCACGTGTGACCCTGCCCCGGGACATTCCCATCCCCACGGATCCCATCCCCAAAATCTCACTCCTGGGATCCCTCACCCATCTCTGCAGTCCCTGCTCCAACACCTCCAGGCCTTTGGGAAGGGCCCTGATGCCGACAGAACTTAGATCAAAGTTACAAAGTGATGATATAGCTTGAGTTATATCAGTATAACCTGATAGATCTATATAACCTGATATCAATAGAACCTAAATCATGACTTTTTATATATCTATATAAATATACTTAGATAACCTGAATCATCCTTTTTTTGTGCTTATATAACCTGATATAAATAACTTTGTACAGTGCAATGGCTTTTTTATGATTAACTATTTGCTTAATGCTGAATAGACAGAAAAAAGAAGAAAAAAACCTCACCAGGTGGAGAGCTTCAGAGATAGATAGGGATAGTACTAATGAGAAATTGTGCAAAGCCAATGAGCCACAAAACAAATAATTTAGGCTGGTTAGGACCAGACACACCAAGGAACACCATAACAGCACATGCTCCAAAGACAAAGTTGAAAACTTCATATGTGAAGAAAGCCTTGGAAGCCTTTCCTAAAGTGCCCTCCCTGCAAAACCAGGACAATCACAGACTCCTGACAGACCCCAGATTAGGAAAGTGCAAGTGCAGTGCAGAAGAACTATCTAATACCCCTGAGCTCATACAATGTAAATGAGTCCCGCAGGTAGGTGATGATGTTGTAGTGACACAGAGACACTGAGCAACACCTACTGCATGAATATACCACAGCACGTGACATCTAAAAACACCGCTCTGTGGGGATTTATTTCCAGCTTATATTTCGGGCAGCAGCCCAAAGGGATGGAATTTTCTACCCAGAGTTCCCACCAAGCCCAAGTGTGGATTTGCAGCCCACAATTTTCCCAGTTTGCCTCTCCTTTTCCCCACGTTGGATTCCCCCTGCCCCCATCAGATGGGAGAAGCTGAGAGCCCCACACTGCCCATCCTGGTCTCTCCCAGCTCAATCCCTGCTGCTGTGACTTCTAGAGATGAGCTTGGGCAGGAGGAATCCCCAGCTCTCACACCTTGTTTTCATCCCCAAACCAGGATTTCCCATTCACAAACCTTGGCCCGATGCAGGAGGAGGAGGAGGCTGTGAGGAAGAGGAAGATGTCCCGGGAGCTTAATGCAGGTGAGGAGGAAGTCAGTGCCCCTTTCCCCCTCTCTCCTGCTCCATCTCCCAGCCCAGCACGGCCCCCGGCTGCAGGACAACCCTGCTGCCAAAGCTGTCCTGCTGGGGACGCACTGGGGGGATCTCCTTGCCCTTCCCTGTGGCACGGAGGCAAATCCCATCCTGTCCTTGTCCTTCCTCCCCCAGACCAGGAGCTGAGGATGGAGAGCAGGGAGGACAAATCCCCACAGCAGAACCTTGTGGAAGAGCCTGTTTTGAGCGGCTCCACAGCACAGGAACCCAACGGGGAGGAAAAGCCCCGGACATCGGGCACAAGGAGAGGCTGCAGACACAGATCACAGGGATCTGAGGGGGAAAGACACACCCGAGGCTGGGGAGGCGGCCGGAGCTCAGAGCTGGGAGCAACTTCAAGATGAGGAGAAGCCCCACAAGTGCTTGGAATGTGGAAAGAGCTTCAGCCAGAGCTTCAGTCTCCTCACCCACCTTCAGGTGCACACAGGGGAGCGGCGCTGGGAGTGTAGGGAATGTGGGAAGAGGTACAGGCGCAGCTCCCACCTCTACCACCAGCGGGTGCACACCACAGAACGGCCCTACACGTGCTTGGAATGTGGGAAGAGCTTCAGTGTTCGATCCACTCTGACCTCCCACCAGAAGGGCCACACTGGGGAACAGCCCCTTGAGTGTTCTGAGTGTGGGAAAAAGGCTCGGAGCAGTTTGGATCTCCTCAAGCACAGCACACCAGTGTCCCGAGTGTGGGAAGACCTTCAGGCACAGCTGTAGCTCGACCCAACACAAACAGAGCCACCGCTAAGAGAAGCCCTGAGAGTGTCCTGAGTGCGGGAAGAGCTTCCTGTGCTGCTCCAGCTCCAAGCCTCCATCCTCATGGGAGGATCCACGCTGGATGATCCTCAGTGACCCCCGGTGGGCAGAGCCCAGTGATCCGTGTTGGGAAGGCACCTGCCTGCGGGCTCCACATCCTCCTGGGTCCCCATGGCCTGGGTTTTCTTGTCATTTCTCTTTGTCCCTTCAAAACACCCAAAACTGGAGTAAAAAAATAAAGACATTGAACGGAGACATTGATGGGAACATGGAGGGATCTTCCAGGGGATGTGGGGGATGCTGGGTCCAAGGGATTTGAGGGTTCCTGGGAGGGATTTGGGGGTTGCTCAGGGCTTTGGGCACCCCAGGCTGAGTGGCTCTGGCTGTGCTGGGAGGCCCTGGTCGCAGTTCTGGGGCAGCTGATCAAGGCCCCCCTGCCCTGGGACTGTTCCCATCTCCCCCATCCTGGTTCCTGGTGTTCCCTGTGCAGGATCCCCCTCTCCCTGCTGTCACCCTCCTTTCCTCTGGCCCATTCCCATGTCACCCCACTCTTGGGCCCATTCTGCTTCCATCCCAGTCTGCATCCCATCCCCAGTCTCATTCCCTGTCCCTGTCCTGTCTGTCTGGTTGTATTGCACTAAGTTGTTTCTTTAGTTATTGTTCTGCACTGGCTGGTCTTGTTATTTTGCAGGGAATAGTTGATGTTGTATCACATGGTTTGTCCCGCACACACCCCTCTCCCCCAAAGCCCCGGTGCTGCTCTTGCCCTGGGTTAATCCTCCCCTCAGCCCTCCCATCAGTTGTATCCCATTGGCCGTGGCCTCTCTCCTCCGCCCCCCTTTCCCTGGGTTTAAAATCACCCGCGATCAGACACTTGATCTCTTTTCCCCTCTTGGACCTGCCTGGAGTGATTCCACAGTTAAGGTGGGATTTTTGGTCCCGAGGAGAAGAGCGCCTCTCGTCCTTTACTTTGGTCCTTGTGAGATAGTGAGGCCCGGGGGTCCAGAGCTGCCAAACCAGACCCCACAAAGGCCCTGGGTCAACCTTACATTGCCGTTCCCATATTCCAAATCCCATAATCCCCGTCCTGTTCCTGTATTCCCGATCCTACTACTGGTCCCGCATTTCCATTTCTGTATTCCCTGTCTCACTCCCATATTCCCATTCCCACTCTCACTCCTGTATTCCTGTTCCCAATCCCGATACCATCTTCCTAATCCCCGTCCCCTATTCTCTCTCTGGTTCCTGTTTCCATATTCCCTGTCCCATTCCAATATTCTCATCCCCAGTCCCATTCCAGGTCCCTCTCCCATTTTCTCAATCATATCCCAGTCCCTGTCCCCATTCCTGTCCCTGTTCCCATTTCCGGTTGCAGTCCCAATATCCTGGTCCTTGTTCTGGTCCCTGTCCCTGTCTCCTATTTCCAGTCTAATTCCTGGTTCTATTCCCAGTCCCTGTCCCCATTCCTGGCCCTGTTCCCAATCCCGGTCCTGTCCCGGTCCCATTCCTGAGGGCTGCACAGCTCGGGCTGGCTGTGCCACACGAACCGTTCAGCCCCACTGCTGTCCTTGGCCAGCTGCAGAGAGCACAAGGCTTTGGGCATTTCTCAGAGGCCCCCGGCTGGCCAGAGCAGCCCCTCCTGCCAGCAGCCGCTGTGCCTCAGAGCCCTCCCTCACGCTGGGGCCAGGCAGGGGCCATGGGCCTGGAGGAGGCTCCTGTTCTTGAGACAGGAGCGAGGCTGCAGCTCCCGCCTTTGGGCCCTGGGCCGCAGCAGCGCAGGGGAGGCCCAGCTGCAGAGCTCACAGCCCCTGCTGGCTTTCAGTGGGACACTTTGGAGCACCAATCCCCAGCCCATATTCTCTCTGTGGTTGCTGTTTCCATGTTTCCCGTGCCATTCCCATATTCTCTTCCCTAGTCCTTGTCTCCATTTGTGGACCCTGTCCCCATCTCTGGTCTCATTCCTGGTCCCCGGTCCCATTCCCGGCCTCCATTCTCGGCCCCTGTCCCCATTCCCGGTGCCATTCCCGGTCTCCATTCCCAGTCTCTGTCCCTAGTCCCTGTCCCCTTCCCCGGTCCCATTCTTGGTCCCTATCTCCATTCTTGGTCCCATTCCCGGTCCGTCTCCCTACTCCCGTTCCCGCTCCCTGTCCCCTCTCACTGCATGCCGCCGCCATCGCTGCGGCTCCCCCAGCCCTCACGTAAGAGAGGAGACCCGGCGCTGCTCCCGCCCACCAATCCCAGCGCGCGATCGCTCCCGTATTTGCATAACCACTCCCTGCGGTTTGGCCCCGCCCACCGCCGGCTTCAGCCGCCTCCGGGCGCTGTTTGCTCCCAGTTCCCTCCCAGTGCTCCTGGTAAGAGCGGCACTGGCAGGGAAAGCGCTCCCAGTTCCTTCCCGCTGCTCTCAGGATCGCTCCCGGTGCTCCCAGGATCGCTCCCAGTGCCGCGCGGGACGGGGTTGTTTCGGAACCCGCCCAGGGCATAGCGCGGCTGCTTCTGGGGGTCGGCACTGCCCGGGCCGAGCTGGGAGCGGAGGAGGAGTGGGAGGAAGAGAAGGAGCAGAACCACGCTGGTTTCCCCGCCGCCTTCCCCCGCCGCTCAGGCCGAAGCTCCCCCGGCTCCTGCTGCATCGCCCCCTACAGGAGCCGCAGGTGAGCGGGACGGGGGAGCTCGCACCAGATCCATCGGGGGGTCTCCGGGGGGAGGTTTTCGTGGGGCAGGGGATGTTTGGATCTTGCAGGACCCCGAACCGTAAACTTCCCCTGGAGTGAGCATGGGGGTGGGGGGGGAGTCTCACGTTCGTCCGTGTCAGGATGCGTCCTAGTGAACAGATGACATGGTGGTTCGTAGGAGTGATCTCAGTGTGGAAAAACCAACACGGCACAAGGGGGTTTGCAGTGATAATCAAAACAAATGCAGTTTTATTGAAATAACTAGAGCAAAATGCGATAGAGCGATTAAGGGAAAGGAAAAGATAAAGAGAGAGGAGAGAGAGAGAGAGAGAGAGAGAGAGGGGATATAGCTACCAACGCAGAGACGAAGTCCTTTGGTCCAGTCCAGTCGAGGATCCGTTTGTTATGCTGGGGAGATCTCAAAGGCTCTAGCTAACTCAGAAGTTTTTATTACTGAAAACTGTGAGGGTGGGGGGGGGGGAACAGATACAATAGGGAACAGATGTAACAGGTAGTCCATGTTCTCAGCAGTAAGCGAGAGCCATTGTTTTCTTGGTTCGGTGGTCACAACCTGCAGGCAAACATCTCGCTTTGGTCAGCTTGCCTCCCCACAACCCTCCCCGGGCTGGGGGTTTCAGTCCCAGTCCTTGGAAGGAGCAGAGGGGCCTGTTAGGAGTTTCACGTCTCAGTCCTTGATGGAGAAGCTTCTTACATCTCAGTCTGTCTGTCACGGTGGTTGTAAAACAGGTGAGGGTCTTCTGTGGGAGACCACCCGAAACTCAGGAGAAGTCCAGCCAGGCCGAGAGGTGGGACAGCTTCCAAAGTTGCTATTGTTGCAAACGGGGCACGGTGCCCCCTTCTTAGCATACAGCAAACATTCCTGTGAAAACAATAGCTCAACACTGAGCTTTCAGGTCTCAGGGCCTTTGGCATGTGACTTTTCTCCTTCAGAGCCAGATATTTTAGATAGGAGGCATCTTCTCTTCAGTGGTCTCCCAAGGACGATCGTGGGGCAGACGAGGGAAAATTCTGACAGGCTCTCACAGCCCGGTACCGGCGGGCACAGGGGCGATCTCGGGTTTGGGGATGCCCAGGAGAGCCGGGGGGAGCTCGGGAGCCCCGGAGCGGGGAGAGCGCAGAGGGGCGGTCCCGGAGCCGGGGGACAAACCGGCTGCCTGGAGGGGTGCGGGAGGCTGGGGATGAGCGGGCTCCGGGCCCCCGAGGCTGAAAGGGGAGCTGACTTGGGCAGCGGGACCATCAAACCCAACACGCTCATCCCTTATTTTTCCCCAAACCAGGATTTCCCATTCACAAACCTTGGCCTGATAGAGGAGGCCGTGTGGAAGAGGAAGATGGCCCGGGAGCCCCAGGCAGGTGAGGAGGAAGTCAGTGCCCCTTTCCCCTCTCTCCTGCTCCATCTCCCAGCCCAGCACGGCCCCCGGCTGCAGGACAACCCTGCTGCCAAAGCTGTCCTGCTGGGGACGCACTGGGGGGATCTCCTTGCCCTTCCCTGTGGCACGGAGGCCAATCCCATCCTCTCCTTGTCCTTCCTCCCCCAGAGCAGGAGCTGAGCATAGAGAGCAGGGAGGACAAATCCCCACGGCAGAACCTCGTGGAAGAGGCTGTTTTGAGCAACTCCACAGCACAGGAACCCAATGGGGAGGAAAAGTCTTGGAGAACCTGCACGAGGAGGGGCTGCAAACACAGATCTCGGGGATCTGAGGAGGAAAGTCCCACCCAGGGCTGGGAAGGCGGCCAGAGCTCGGAGCTGGGGGTCCATGAGCAGCTTCAGGTTGGGGAGAAGCCCCACAAGTGCTCGGAATGTGGGAAGAGCTTCAGCAAGAGATCCTACCTGGTCCGCCATTGGAGAATCCACACAGAGGTTCGGCCATACGAGTGTCCCGAGTGTGGGAAGAGCTTCAGGAGGAGCTGCTACCTGCCTGTCCACCTGCGGATCCACACTGGAGAGAGACCCTACAAGTGTGATAAATGCAGGAGTAGGTTTCAGACCAGTTCTCATCTCTGCCAGCACCAGCGCATTCACTCAGATGAGAGACCCTTCCGCTGCCCTGACTGCAGGAAGGGCTTCAAGGACAATTCCACCCTCGTCAAGCACCGGCACATCCACACCGGAGAGGGGCCTGGGGCGAGGCCGTACGTGTGTGATCAATGCTCGAAGGCGTTTAAGACCAGCTCCCATCTCCTGCTTCACCTGCGCACTCACACAGACGAGAGGCCCTTCCGCTGCCCCGACTGCGGGAAGGGCTTCCAGCGCAACACCCACCTCACCAGCCACCGGCGCATCCACACCGGGGAGACGCCCTATGAGTGTCCCAAGTGTGGGAAGAGATTCCGGCAAAGCTCAGCCGTGACCTACCATCAACGGAGGCACCACTAAGGGCAGCCCTGTGAGTGCCCTGAGTGCAGGAAGAGCTTCCTGTGCTGCTCCAGCTCCATCCCCTATGGGAGATCCACCCTGGATGATCCCCAGTGACCCCCGGTGATCTGTGGTGCCGGTGATCCCTGTTGGGAAGACACCTGGCTGGGGGGCTCCACATCCTCCTGGCTGCCTGTGGATACCTGCACACATCCATGGACCAACATCCAAAATCCATTTTGTAGAGCTGATTTGTCCACTCCTGACCCCAGAAAAAAGTCACTTTTTGCCTCTTCTGGTGGCCTTAACAACACTGGATAGTCTTGGAGGTCTTCTCCAACATAAATCGATCGTTTTAATTCTCTCTGGCCCATGGGCATCTTCCACAGCCAAATGGGGAGAAAACCCTCAATGGGTTTTTGCCAATGGGACAAAACTCTCAATTTTGGACACAGTTGGGTGGGAACTCCTCCAAAAAAGGTTCTTCCCACCCGCCAAGCACATGGTTGCTCTGCCAGCAGTGATATATAAATAGTTCGTTTTTTTTTTTTGCCTTGAAACTAAAAGGTTTCTGTTCATTCCTTTCAAAGCCCTGAAACTGGGGTAGAAATAAAAGTGTTGAACTAAGGCGTGCATGAGGACATGTGGGGTACAATGACATGTGTGGGGCCATGGGGGGATATTGATGCCGAATTTTGCCCCAAAAGGCGAGAATAACTGCCTAAGAGACTCAATTTAAGTCAGCATAGACAGGAGGTATTTTATTACGACGCGTCGGAGAAATCACAAAAGGGATTTCTGAGTATCTTGTAACAAAAGCAAGCCTTTTATATAGTTTTGAATATAAAGTTACATCATATCACATGCATAATCATGTTTTTGCATGCATATTCATAAGAGGCGTGGTGTAGGCGGAGCGTGGGCGGAGACATCTCTTTTGAGGATCATTTTGGTGGTCGTTCCGGTTGCCTTCATCGTGGGCAGGGGTCACCTGATGAGTCTTCCTCCTTAAACTTTTGAACTCTTATCCTAATATGGCCAATTCCCGGTGTACTTGGCTTGGTCCCATGGCTTGGCAAGGCTCTTAGGCTCAGTTTGACATTGTTGGCTCTGAACATGCTTAGCCCATCAATTCCCCTATCCCTATCTCTCTTTCCTGTCATTGTGTTCCATGCCTTAGCCGATTTATTGCTCTATATGTTTCCTAAGTGCTATGCTTTCTTCGAATGTTTCACATTCTATGTTTTAACTCATTATTTCTTGAAAGCTATCCATTTTGGGGCTTCAACATGGACATAGACAGGACCATGTGGGACATGGCGGAACACAGACATGGATGGGAACATGGCAAACATGCATAGGGACATGAACTGGGACAGCGTCAATGCCACCACCACAGTGCCACCAGCACCTTCATCTGGGCCATGGCAAAGCGCTGCCGGATGCAATTCCTGCCACCACATCCCCACTGTCACCACCGCGGTGTCCCAGCTGAATGTCACCACCCATCAGGGCAGGGTGGGGCCATTGTTCAGCTGGTGACAAGTGGCCCGGAAGCAAGTGACAGCCACCAGGGTGTCCCAGGCTCACTGCACTCAGGGGACCTCAGCTGCCCATGGGGACAGGGGAAAAGGTCAGTGTCACCTGGCAGGTCGGGTTGCCCTGCACTGGGTGTCACCAGAGGCGTCCTGGTGGCAGCATCCACACAGATGTGGCAACATTGTCCCCTGATGTTTGTCATGGTTGCATCGTGTCCCCTCCTCCCCTCTGTATGTCCCTATCCCCCACCATGGCTCCCTGTCACCCCTCTGTGTGTGCCCGTTCTGTCCTGTGTGTCCCTGTCACCCCTCTGTGTGTCCCTGTCCTGTCCCATGTGTCCCTGTCACCCCTCTGTGTGTCCCCATCCTGTCCCGTGTGTCCCTGTCACCCCTCTGTGTGTCCCTGTCCCTCCCCCTATGTCCCTGTCCCCACCCCTGGTGGGGCTGAAGTGCCCGAGGTCTTGGGTTCCTGTCCTGCAGGATCTCTTTGTGTCCTGTGGGGTGTCCCCGTGTCCCTCAGGATGTTCCCATGGGTGCTCCTGGCACTGAGTGTCTGCACCCACCCTGGCACAGGCAGAGTCATGCCACGGCACCTGTGACACCCCACGACATCCCATGACACCCTTTGATTCTGAGTCCTTCCCCCTCCATTTTGGGTCCATTCCCTGTGCTATGGGTCACATTTTAAACCACCCCAGAACCCCCCAAAATTCCTCACCCATGATGTCCACGCATCCCCCTGGAAGTCCCCCCAGGCTCTCGGCCACGGAACTGTTGCTGGTGACATTGAGCCACAGGATCCACAGGCTGTCCCCAAGGGTGGCCCCTCCAGTGGCCCCTGCAGCAACAGGGCCCTCATGGTGGCCAGGACTGCAACCCCAAACATCAGTCAGTGACCCCGAAAATTCATCAGGGATCCCAAAACTTCACCAGGGATCCCAAAACCCCATTAGAGAGCCCTGGCCCCAAATCCATCGTGACAGGTTCCGCATGCTGACCGGTACTGCGACCCCAAAAATTCATCACAGATGCCAAAACCTCCCAAAATTCATCAGGGATCTCAAAAATCCATCAGGGATCCCGAAATCCCCTGCTGGGGACAATCCTGGTGTGTCCCTTAAGGAGTTGAGGACACCCCCAGGATGTCCACCTGTTGAAGTGTGCTTTCTTTATTTGGCAGGTTCTCTGTGTAACTTGTGGTTTTGCAACCCCTCTGTATTGTCCTCCCCGTTATTCAGTTTAGTTCTGTTTGTTACCCAGCTACTCCCTGCCAAGTTTCAAACCTCCACCCCTTCCCAGCTGTTAACCCCTCCTGCCCCTACCTTTGCCCCAGACCCTTCCTTACTCCTCCTTCCATTGAATGTTGATACCGAATTTTGCCCCAAAAGGCGATAATAAGCTGCCCAGAGACTGGATTTAAGGTCTATAGGCAGGAGGTATTTATTGACAACGTGTTGGAGAAATCACTAAATGGATTTCTAAATTATGTACAGCAAAAGCAGGTTTTTATACAATTTTGAACAAGGATTACATCATTTATTACATGCATATTCATAGGCAGGCAGGAGTATAGGCGGAGTCTTCCGGGAACTCTTGGTCTTCCTTAGTTAAATTTTAAGCTTTTCCTAATTTGGATATCTTCCTGTTATCCTTGGCATGTTTTTCCATGGCTTGGCAGAAGTTACTGTTGTACTTGGCTTGATTCTAACGGCTTGGCAGGTCACTTTAACTTATTGGCTTCCACTTCTGCTTCTTCAAATATTCTAATTCCAAAGTTTCTTCTGTGAGTGTATTTTAGATTATTTATTAACTTATCTAGATATCTGATCAAAGTTCTCCCTAACAGTGTATTTTAGGTTATTTATTAACTTCTGCGATTCCCTTGATATACTTTAAGTGTCTTTTAATTCTTTTATTTCTCAGAAACTATTGTTCATTGTAATAAATGGCTTCAATGTCAATCCCTGCCTGAACCTGCCCTCCCCTCTAGAAACTTCCCTGTCAGTTTTGTATCCTTCGAAACCCCATTGGTTTACTCAAGCTGTTCTCCTCCCTTGAAGTCCTTCATTGGTTTACACATTGTATTCCCTGCCTTGTGTCCCACCCCCAGTTCCCCCGATTAGCTAGAGATTTTATCCTCCCCGAGACCCCCCCGTTTATAAGCTGTTGTCTGTTTAGGGTCCTGGGATCCTGGACTCGCATTGCCCCTCAGCCCGCAGGGCAGGTTTTGCCCCCGAGCAAGGCAGCACGGGCCGGATAGCTCAGTCCCTGCTGGGGACAGAGAGCCCAAATACCCAGGCTGCTCGTGGCCATGGCTACCTTAAGCAAGCTGAGTGGATATCAGCTCTTTAGTGATTATCAGCTCTCTTGGAATTCCAGCTCCTTGCTTGCTAAGGTGCCTGGCAGGCTATCGGGGGAAGCAGACGAGAGAGGAGAAGAAAGGTCCTGGCGTTCCACAGTGATGGTTTTATTGGGGGTCTGTGAAGGGTTCCAGTGACACTCTTCTTCTGCCAAATGGGCTAAAACAGCCCCTTTTTATAGGGTACAAATGGATCCAAACTTGTCCAATAGTAGGAGTTGGGGAAAAGTGACCTATGGGGTTACAGAGATAAGCTGGGGTCCGAGAGGCGGAAGACAGGGGCTTATTTTGCTATTTCATCATGACTCAGCAATTCCTATCGCTAAGCCTCAGCCCTCCATGGGGCCCTGGCCAATTCCATGGAGCCTGCTACAGACTCAGGGAGTTTTACCATTGAATAAAGTTCCCCCAGTTCCACCCCAGGGCCCGTGCTGCTGCCTTTTTGTTTCTGCGCCGAACCTCCACTGGCAGCTGGGATTCTGCGGAGCTCCAACGGGGGCTCTGTTGCACCCCTGTTATCATCCAGCCGGGACTCAGCGCCCCGCGACAGATCCGCCACATCCACCCCTCCCCGCCCTGTGTGTCCCTCGTCACCCTCCCTGCCCTGGGGACATTTGGGGACACACCTCTCACCCAGGTGTCGCTTCTGGGGGTCCCTGGTGAGCTGCATGGCCACGGCCAGGCCGATGCCCTAAGGTCCCCATTCTAATACACAGTACAGTACACACAGCACATCTCATTCCATCCCACAGAACACAGCCAGTGAGCCAAAGTTAACCCTTCCCCAGTTTCTCCCTCGGAATCTGAGCAGTGAAACTGCATCTCAGTCCCTCCCACAGAACACAGCCAGTGAGTCAAAGTTAACTCTTTCTCAGCTTCTTTCTCAGAACTTGGACAGTGAAACCCTGGCTGCGTGTCTCTTAAAAAGCACTGGCAGTAAGCCAGGAGTAACTCTTTCGCAACTTCTTTCACAGAGCCTAAGCAACATAACTGCCCGTACCCCAAAATGCAAACACTGAATCCACACCAACAGAGCTTTCGGGAAATTAATATCTCTGCTGCTTACAGGTGACGAAGGGACGGAGGTTGGGTTTACCTACGAATGCTCACAAAAAACAAATCAGGAGATATATTAATCACAGCTATCACGGGCCCCAAAAAGTTCTGGTAACCTTCATTGTTGATACAGGAGCCCAGATCTCCGCACTAACACATAAAGATGCCCAGAAGTGTGGAGTTGTTCCAACAAAAAGGCAATGCTGCGTTCTTAATGCTTTAGGAACTATAGAACCCATGAATGTTGCTTTAGTCAAAGTAACACTCCCTGGAGAGGAAAATCAATTAGTTGTCAAAATGGTAATTGGGGACATTCTGAACAATCTGCTGGGGATGGATGTCCTCGCAGGAAGGCAGTGGGAAGACACTGAGGGTTTTCTGTGGTGTTTTGGCACTCCGCCACTTAACATTAGGCTGCTTCAGACCGCACCTGCACTGCCTTGCAGTAAAACAATCAATGTGAAACAATATCCTTTGCCTTCTGGAGCTAGGGAAGGCATCAAACTGGTTATTCAAGATTTGCGTGACCAAGGAGTAATAATTAACACACACTCCCCATACAATTCACCCGTGTGGCCAGTCTAAAAGCCCAACGGGACGTGGAGGCTCACGATTGATTATCGTAGGCTCAATGCCAACACTGACCCTCTGACTGCAGCAGTGCCAAATTTAGCTGAATTAATGACATCA